CTGGCTCTTTCACCCATGCTGGAGTGCAGTGGTGCTGTCTCAGCTTACTGCAACCTCCACTTCCCAGGCTCAAGAAATTCTCATGCTTCAGCCTCCTAAGTAATTGGGACTACAGGCATGTGCTACCATGCCCAGCTAATTGTAATTTTTGTAGAGATGGGGTTTTGCCATGTTGCCCAGGCTGGTATCAAATTTGTGAGTTGAAGTGATTTGCCTCCCAAAGTACTAGGGAGCTCAATACCCAGGCTGGTATCAAACTTGTGAGCTCAAGTGATTTGCTTCCTAAAGTACTTGGCCTCCCAAAGTACTAGGATTACAGGTGTGGGCCACTACGCCTGGCCTATGCTGTAGTTCTTTCTTACTTTTCTCTCTGTAGACTAAGAAGGTCTGGCGGAGTTTGCACAGTTAGTCTCTTAGGGACTGACCAACTGACCTTGTCTGGTACATTTACCTATTTTATTCAATGTGCGGAACACCTCAGTCATGGTTATAATATATGTAAATAATCCCCTCTATATCTCAGACTCCATAGAGCAACAAGAAATTCTAATTGACACACTCAGTTTTAGTCACTTAGGTTGTGCAGGAAAATGAATAACTTAGAGTGAATAGCATCAATTAATTGTGGTGGGTAAGGCGGAAAGGGATTTAGTGGGAGATTTTATTCTGACTCACATTAGTAGGTTAATATTATCCTGGTTTTCATGTAAATACACTCTAAGCCAGGTGGGAATATTGTGATTTATAACTAGAAAGCTAAATTGTAAGTAGAAAGCCCTCGGTAATAACTCTTAGGGGGAAAAGATAAAAGTACTGCTCATTTTGAGGAAAAGATTATTTCTAATTATAAGCACATTTATTGAAATTTTCATGACAGAGATACTTAATTTACATATGGACTTACTACAATTTGAGGAAACCCAAATCATGCCCTTTACAGCAAATATTATAAATGGAGGAAAAAATACCATTGCCTTTTAAAATTGTTTTGTAAATTTAGATGAGTTATTCCAGATGAATTAGCCCCTCTTAGCCATTTTGCAACCTGCCAGAGATAATACCAAATGTTTGTTTAAAAACTACAGAATAGAAGTATAAATTTATTGAGTATTGAATTTTTATGATTTAGGTATGAGAAATTATACAGAATAAGAATATACATGCTTTCGATGAGACTGTCTCCTATAGGAAATACTTCTTAACTAGGACAGTTTTATTTTAGTCATAAAAATGAATCAGCTTAAAACATTATTAATCATCTATGATGTGTAAGACTCTAGATGTAGTCGGAGACAGAAGAGATGAGTGTATCCCTAAAAAAATTCCTATCATAGGTGAATAAGAGGTGTACTTGTAAAGATAATTAATACTCAGCAGTGTAGGGTAAGCGACAAATGAGTGATGCAGAGGAGAAATGCTAAAGAAGTCCAAAGAGAGAGACCATTGTGAGTTAGGTATTTATTAATTATGCCCTACTTTATTTTGGATAAAGGAGGAGTCTTGACTATAGTGGATTAGGGAGAAAGTAAAGAGAGTTTAATTTTTTAAAAATGAAAAAGATAGGGCGGGCATGGTGGCTCATGCCTGTAATCCCAGCACTTTGGGAAGCCAAGGCAGGAGGATTGCTTGAAGACAGAAGTTCAAGACCAGCCTGGGCAACATGGCTAAACCTCATCTCTACATGGAGAAAAAACATGGAGAGAAAAAAAAAAAGCCGGGCATGGTGGTACATGCCTGTAGTTCCAGCTACTTGGGAGGCTGGGTGGGAGGATCACTTGAGCCCAGGAGGTAGAGGCTGCAGTGAGCCAGAGTAGATACTGGAGCTCCCTGAATATTAGGCTAAGCTCTAAAATTTAAATTTATAGGTTGGATGAATTGCTCAGGTTTTTTTCTTTGCAGGTATATAATAAGGTGAAATAGGATTTTATAAAGATTAATCAATGGTAGTGGGTATGAGAGTATGGACATGGGAAAGATTGGATATGAATAAAAATTAGGGAGACAGTACAGGAATAAGGAGAAAATGACCTGATATGTGGATGTGGCAGTAGGAATACAATTTTTTTTTCATTTTACATTTATATGGATTTTTTTTTTCTTTTTGAGACAGGGTCTCACTTCATTGCCTAGGCTGGAGTACAGTAGCATCAGAGCTCACTCCAGCCTCGAATTCCTGAGCTCAAGTGATTCTCCTGCCTCAGCCTCCTGAGTAGCTGGGTCTAGAGAGGCATGCTGCCACCATATCTGGCTAATTTAAAATTTTTTATTTTTGTAGAGATGGGGTCTTGCCAAGTTGTCCAGGCTAATCTTGAACTTTTGGCTTCAAGTGATCCTCCTGCCTTGTCCTCTCAATGTGTCTGGGCATGAGCCACCATGCCTGGCCCTGGAATATAAACTGGTGTAGAAGACAATTCAAAAGAATAACTGATAGAGCTTAGTAACTGAAGAATATGGGAATGAGAATGAGGGAGAGAATAAACTGTGACTCCATGTGTTAAAATGTAGACAATAAACATCAGCTTTTGTGCAAAAGTAATGAAAGTTATCACCAGAGTATCTGTACAAGTACCTTGGTCTCAGACTGCATTTGAGTGTGTAATTTAAATAAAGTTTCTCCACAAGAATAGATTTTATTTTTCCCTTTATGCTTTTTTGCTTACTTAGCTGTTTTGGTTCTGGGATTTATATATGACTCAGAAAGTTTATGTTAGGTATACAGCAACATGACTAATTAGTATTCTGTTATATTGCTGAGACAAATCTTAAAACACTAGCTTGTGAGAGAGACCTGCATCTAAATAAAGACAAGTGACTTGTTATGCAGCAGAAAAGTCAGAGATGTGAAATCACAGTACAGGGAAGAGATTTTATAAAATTTATAATGTTAGGATCTCTTTGAATCACTTTGCACAGTGGCATAAGGATTGAAAACAGATTGGATGTGTAGAGTGTGTAGTTATGTCTATAAATTTATATAATCTCAAAGGAGCTAAAAACAGGAAATAGCACAGATATTGATAGAATAATAGAAACAGTGTTCTATTCATACAATGTAATACAATCAACAATGAAAAGAAATAAACTACCAATTCAAGCAATAACATGGATGAATAGCAAACACATTGGGTTGAGTCAAAGAAGCCTTATAAAAAAAGTATATACTATATGGTCTGTTTATATGAAGCTCTAAAACAGACTAATTGGTGGGAGAAAAAAATAAAAATCAATCCTTACCTCTGGGGCTGGGTGTCAGGAATTAACTGGGAAGGGCAATGAGGGAACTTTCTGAGGGTGATAATATAGTATTAATGTCTTGACAGAAGTTTGGGTCACAGGGTGTGTGTATTTCTCAAAACTCATTAAATGGTGTGCTTAAGATTTGTCCATTTCACTATATGTAAATTTTATCTAGAAATGTAGATAAATATCATGGCTAGTAATAAGAGGGCTAAAATAGTTAGGGCTAAGTACTGATGTCTGCAAATTACTCTGAGATACATAAAAAATAAGATGATAAATAATGATAATTATATATATAATGAAGCTAATATGGTAAAATATTTTTGAACCTAAATGGTGCTATATGGGTGTTCACTGTACAATTCTTTTAATTTTTCTGCACATTTAAAAATGTAATAAAATGTTGGGGAAAATTTAAGGAACTTTGAATGCATCAGCCCTTGGATGACTGTTTTACCAATACGGGAATAAGTAAAATACAGTGATTGAGAGACTAGGGTCCTGAATCAGAGCTTTTAGTTTAAATTCTATTAGTTGTATCTTTTATTTTTTTTGAGAACTTTGGCAAATTATAGGTTTTGCTTTCCTGCAAAATGTGAATAATGTCTACATTGTAGAGTTTTATGAAGATTAAATCAGTTAAATTATATAACATTTATCAAGATGTTTGGTGTAGAATTAGCTTTCAGTAAGAATTATGTTAAAAAAAAAAGACAGAGCATAGAAAAAACACTAGTTAAAACCATAGTTTTGTTGTCCTATAAGATTTAATTTCAGTAAGTAAAAATATCTTCTAGCAAATACTGAACATATTTTTCTATATTCTCCAAAGTATAGAAATGATGAAGCTTAATTATTTTAAATATTTAGACATTTTATTTTTTTATTCAAATAAAAATATAAGCTCTAGAAAAAGCTTTTCATTATATGTTTGATAACTTCAGAGTAATTGTAATTCGGCCCATTTGTAGTATACTATTGCCAAGATCTTGAGGTAGGAAGCAGGAAAACAAAATGGACTGAGACAGCATTCCTACTCACGAGGAGTTCACAGTCTACAGCTTAATGTTTCAGTAAGCAAATAGGCTGAACTGTGCTTTTAGATGTTTACCTTAAATTATAAATAAGTAGAATCCAGACAGGGGATAGATAAAAGTCTGTATAATAGCACAAATAGAACTTTCTGTGGTGACAAAAATATTCTGTGTCTGTGCTGTCCAGTGAGATAACCACATATAGCTATTGAGAACTTTAAATGTGGCTAGTGCAACTGAGAAACTACATTTTTCATTTAATTTTAATTTAGCCACACGTGGCTAGTGGCTACCATATCGGACAGTGCATCTCTAGAGTGTGTTTTTCAAACTGCCTGAGGAAAAAGGCCAGTTTATTTCAAATTTCTGATCTCTTATGAACTAATATTTTTATAGAATGTAATACAGATTACAAAAATGAAAAAAAGATATGCAAAATACCACCTCAATTTTTTAAAATATTAGATTCATCAAGCAAAATTACTGTGTCAACATTTCTATAAAAATTTCTAACCGGTATTTATGTCATCATGTACCAGTGACAGATAGTTTTTAGAACGGCATTGGTCATAGACTAAACTTTCTGCTAGGTAGAGGTCTCTTGCCCAGTGTATCTACACATAAATAATTTTCTAAATCCAACCCTTTATGTTAAAATTACTGGTACAGATAATTTTTTTTAACAGGTTTAAGAACAATTCAATAATGCAGTTACTGATGTAACAGTTAATATTCTTTGTAGCAATTCTTGTCTAGGAGAGCTGTATCTTGACAGTGCAATGCGGACAACTTCAAGGTGGACTGAGAAGGCTTATTTGATACAGTGAAGCCATTTTTGTAGTTGGAGGTATACGCTGAAAAATCCTTCCTTCTGTAAAGTTCAGCTCGATGTTTACAGCAGCCAAATTTGCCTAGCAACAGAAAGAAATCTCTTCGGAATGTCTTAGTGAATATTGCATACAGAAATGGATTGGCACAAGAATTGATGGGATAAAAAAGAACCAGTAAAACTTTAGAGTTGGTTACTGTGATAAGAGGCATTTTGAAGGCAGCTGAGATGGCAAAAAAAGAGATAGGTGCCATGCAGGTGAAATCTGTGAAGATGAGGATTGCCATCTTCTTGGCAATCTTTGTATCTTTGTTGGTAGCCATTAATTCTGGGTTTCGAACTGCAAAATAAATTTTAATGTAGCAAGCACAAATTATGATGAAGGCCACCACATTGAGAATCAGGATGGTTAATATATAGACTTGTGAGAGAGTAGTTTCCACATCCATGGGGAAGCAAATACTGACTTTCATGTAATTGCTGACACCCACAAGGGGCAACATAGCAATTAGAGAAGAAAAGAGCCACCCTCCAAGCATAATCAGAATGGCATGTCTTAATCGCAGCTTTTGGTCCAGGTGAATAGCATAGGTGATGGTGTGCCATCTTTCTAGAGTGATGACGGTGAGAGTGTAGACGGAAAGTTCACTTGCGAAAACAGTGAAAAAGCCAGCAGTGCTGCACCCACTCCCTGTCTGCCAGTCTATGGCATGGTTATAGTACTGGCCTTTGGTTTGGGAATCAACTGAGGCTATGAGCAGCAGATAGAGCCCCATGCAAAAGTCTGCAAAGGAGAGATTGCACATGAGAAAACGAGGCACTGTAAGTTTGTAACGACTTGTCAGGAGAACAAAAAGGACAGTCATGTTTCCCATGATGGCTAGAATATTAATCAGCCAAATCAGGACTCTAAGGAAGTCATAACCCATAATATCTTCACAGGGATTAAAAGCATCTGGTTCAGGAGCACATCGGGGTGTCTTGGGTAAGCGGAAGCCGTAATCATAGTCCCAGCCACTCGGTTCACTCTCAGCAAATATGGCAGGATAACTGTAAGAAGAATTATTGGCTTGATTTAAGAGATTTTCTCTGAGTATTAAAACATTTCAAGAATTATTCGTTTTTTTTAAAGCCAAAGAAACAAGGAAACAGCCACAATAACCTCAGCCTTATGTTTATTTGTTAAATTATTTGAGAACTCTTATTTGATGTAGGAGTTCCCTAAGAAGGGAATGAAAAGCCATTTAGACTATATATAGATATATATATTACATTGATGCAAAGATTTAATGAAGCTGTTTACAAAGGATGATTTTCTGTGGAAAACAAGTTTAGAAAGACAATCTATGCTTGCTAAATCTAAAGTAATCCTTTCTTGGCATTTTCTTAGCTATTTATCTCTCATTTAGTTGCCAGCCAAACTGCTACCAAGCTGTTTGTGTGTTGCAGAACACAAATAGAACTGTAAGGCTCACGTTGAAAATCATTAGCTACTGGTGGACTTGTTTGTACTTAAGTCCCTGGCTAATCAAATAGTCCAATCAAGAAATAGAAACCAAGGATAGATTATTAGAAATTTAGGAGCAGAGGAAGAATATAGTTGTGGACAATAGGAAGAGGTGGTGAAAATATTGCTATTTAGGGATATGAGTCAAAGGCTGAGGGAGGATTATGAGGTAGTCTGTCCCTAGTGAAAGAACAGTCCTTTCTTTGCCACTCCTTTCCAACCCCACTGCTACTTCCTGAGTTTAGGTTTTTGTCCTTTCTTATGGAGCAATTAGTTTTCGTCCTGATATCCTTTATCCAATTTTAGCCCTCTCCCTATTCCATTTTGTATGTTCCTTCTAGAATGGCCTTTCCCGAATTCAAAGTTATTCATTTCACTTACCCAAATCAAACCTGCCCCAGGTTCTCATTGGTTGAGATAAAATCTAAACTCATTGTGATGATTTCCAAGGCTCTCCTTGATCTGGGTTCTACCTATCTCTTCAATCTCATCTCTAAGAAGCACTGGTGCTGCAGAATTCAGAGAATGGGCTAGAACGAGACTGCCAGGATCCAACCCTAGCACAGCTGTTACAGGCTGTATAATCCCAGGAGAGTTAATTTATATCTCTGTACCTCAAGTTCTTTATTTGCCAAGTAGGGATAATAATCATACCTTCCATGTTAAAGTTGTGCTAATAATTGAATGCGTTCGTACATGTAGAATGTTTAGAATAATTCTTGAAGCAATAAATAGTAGAGATTCTTAACATTATCTCTTGTAGATCCCTTGTGCAACCTTCCCTTTGGTCACATAAAATGATGTGTAGCTCTCTGAATAAGTTCTACTGTTTCATTCCTTTGTCTTTGTACATACTTCTGGCTGGAATTTTTTTCCTTTTCTCATCTCTCTGGTGAATTCCTCCTCATCTGTAAAGATAAGTTCTCCTATAAAGGCTTTCTTGATTATACTCCCCGAGTTTTATTTATCCACCTGCCAGAGCTGCAGTTAGTACAACTGCAATTATCAAAACATATTGCAAGTAAGTGATGATGCATGTCTGTCTTCTTTCATTGTCTATTCGCTTCTTGAAAACAGAGGACTAGGTTTTACTTATTTCTGAAATCCCAGTTCCTAGCACAGTTTTGGCTCAGTGTTCATTCAACAAATGTTTGTAGAGTGAATAATTCTAAACCAGGATGATACTGCTATGAAAAGAATTGAGAAGATACAGAGACAATGAGCACACAGGATCATGCATGTAGGCTCAAAAACCATTTTTGTTTTTACCCATCTTCTGCTAATATAATATTAGGAACTGGAGAAATGGGCACAATTTTTCTGTCAAGGACATTACAAATATATATTTGTAATATATTTTTGCATACTATATGAGGAGCCTTATGGTTCTTATACATTAAAAGGATATTTTTCTCTACTGTCAAACCTAACTTCTCATGTTCTGTATTTTAAGTGTATACCTAGTTCAGTGAGTGGAGGAAATAATAAATTGGAAGAATACAACACTGATGAGAATGAACACAGATTTAAAAAAAGAAAAAAATCTGTGACCTGGGACTCCAAAAATGTGTTAGAGTATTGTGGAGCCCAATTTGGAGCTAGAGAAGGGCTGCTGCTATGTACAGAAGATCACATAGGAACCTCCCTTGTTTTATTATTAAATATTGTAATAACCAGCACATTTGTTTGTCCTCTTCTTAGAGACATCAATATAATTACCATTTTTAATCTTTAAAGGGAGAAGATGGTTATGAAGAACTATTAAAGAAAATAGATCATTAATTTCTTAGCATTAGAAAGGTTTTTAGGCTGGGCACAATGGCTCACACCTGTAAGCCCAGCACTTTGGGAGACCGAGGTGGGTGGATCACCTGAAGTCAGGAGTTTGAGATGAGATGGCCAACATGGCGAAACCCCATCTCTACTAAAAATACAAAAATTAGCCAGGCGTGGTGGCCTGTAATTCCAGCTGCTTGGGAGGCTGAGGCAAGAGAATTGCTTGAATCTGGGAAGCGAAGTTTGCAGTGAGCTGAAATTGCACCACCGCATTCCAGCCTGGTTGACAGAATAAGGCTATCTAAAAAGAAAGAAAGAAAGAAAAAAAGGTTTTTAAAGACCATCTCATTGAATCCTTTCCTTTATTGATAAGGAGACCAAGATTAAAGGAGGTAAGTGACTTGCCCAAGGTCTCTCAGGGATAGTGACAGTGGCAGCATGAGGTCTTCATAACCACAGTTCAGAGACCTTTCACCTAACTTCATCCTCTCTTACTGTTTTTCAAAGTGTGGTCCTTGGACCATCTCCATCGCAATCATCAGGGTATTTGTTAAAATGCAGAATCTTGGCTTTATCCCAAATGCTGAATAAGAAAAATCTCTAGAGACAGAGCCCAGGAATTTGCATTTTAAATAAGTTCTCTGGATGATTTATACAAAATAATAACCTTTGTTAAATCAGGTGAAAACGTTCTAACTATTCCTGATTTCCTTTACTCCTTTCCCCTTATCAAAATGGCTTCAGCTGTTAGAAACATTATTGTAAAACTTGTAAAATTTCTGCCATGATTTCTGCTTAAATTTATGTCAATAAGAGGTCAAGCATGTTTCCTCACTTCCTCTTGCTATCTGGTCCTTTGTCCTTTCTTTTTTTTTTTGCCTTAATGGGCATATGTCTAGCAATTTTTCTCCTTGGTGATTTGTCTTCAGACTAAACACCCACCTGCTGTTACTACATTTGTGTCCTGGGATTGCTCCTGAGGGCAGCATCATACTTACTGACAAACCCCAGCATGGAGGTGTTTTTAGTCTTCGGGGCTATGCGGGGAGTATGAATGGGCTCACACAGGCTTAGTAATATTGAATCAGAGGAAGGAGAGCTGTAGCACCGCTGGTCCAGTCACAAGAAAGAAAGGAGAAAAGATGGAAATTTTAGGAGGACAGTAGGCCCAGCCATAGAGGTAAGGATGCATTATCTTGGGGAGAAGAGATAAGGCTTAGTGGCGAGCTCTAGAATTTCTAAACTCTAGGGACTGAGGAATGGCTATTTGGTGGGAAGTAGGAGGTAGATTTATAATAAAATGCTTTCACAAGGTGAATGCTCTTTTTACTTAGATTTTATGTTAATTTCAGTCAGTTTTGGAGATTAGCTAGAGATTAGGGACTTGTCTTAAAGCAGTGTTAGCATAACAAACTCAAGGTTATATATTCTCATATATAACTTGGTGAGGATTATATTGAGGATGGGTTAAAGTTTCCCTCAAACCACTCTTTGGTGCTATCATTAACTATACCCGTAAGTGTTTTCCTGTTGATAAGAATTAAGCCATGTGGTTGCAAAAGAGTTGTGTAGAAGGTTACTGATAGAATACTGAGTAAGAAGAGTGGGAAGGGTGAAGAAAGGCCACTGGAGGATACATGGTGTCAGACCTAATGTGAGAAAAGGAAAAGGAGACAATAATACTTATTTACCCTTGGTGTTGTCACATTGCTTAGAGGAGAAAGGTCTCAAAAAGGATAAATTTTGCCAGTAATAATGTTACTGGAAGGTTACTGCCAAGGATTCATATCCTTGGAATGGAACCCCAAAGTCCAGGGTCGTTCCACCACACCACCCTGAAGCATCTGTATTACTTGGAGATTGATAGGAAAAGAAAAGAAGAGAAAATTTCAGAAAGAGATTGGCAAAGTGTCTTAAAGGAGCACTCAAGAGGATATAATAAAACTTCTAAATCTTAGTAAATGAGGTATAGGGACAGTGCGATTATCTTGTTTTTAAAATATATTTTATTGCATTTTAGGTTTTGGGGTACATGTGAAGAACATGCAAGATTGTTGCATAGGTACATACATGGCAGTGTGGTTTGCTGCCTTCCTCCCCATCACCTGTATCTGGCATTTCTCCCCATGTTATCCCTACCCAACTCCCCACCCCACACTGTCCCTCCGCTAGTTCCCCTCCCACAGACCCCAGTGTGGGATGCTTCCCTCCTTGTGTCCATGTGTTCTCATTGCTCAACACCCGCCTATGAGTGAGAACATGCAGTGTTTGATTTTCTGTTCTTGTGTCAGTTTGTTGAGAATGATGGTTTCCAGGTTCATCCATGTCACTAAAGGACACAAACTCATCATTTTTTATGGCTGCATAGTATTCCATGGTGTATATGTGCCACATTTTCCCTGTCCAGTCTATCATCAATGGGCATTTGGGTTGGTTCCAGGTCTTTGCTATTGTAAACACTGCTGCAATGAACATTTGTGTGCATGTGTCCTTATAACAGAACGATTTATAATCCTTTAGATATTTACTCAGTATTGGGATTGCTGGGTCAAATGGAATTTCTATTTCTAGGTCCTTGAGGAATTGCCACACTGTCTTCCACAATGGTTGAACTAATTTACACTCCCACCAACAGTGTAAAAGTGTTCCAGTTTTTCCACATCCTCTCCAGCAACTCTTGTCTCCAGATTTTTTAATGATTGCCATTCTAACTGGCATAAGATAGTATCTTAATGTGGTTTTGATTTGCATTTCTCTATGACCAGTG